CCCCGGGGCGCGCTGGGGCTTCCCCAGGCGGCTCCCGCCGCTCCCCCGGGCTCCTTCTGTGCTTCCGCTCGGTGTCCCTGGCCCAGGTCAGCGCCTCCCTCCCGGGTGCTTTCTGCAGACTTGTTTGTCTTTCCCAATAAAATGAGAAATGCCCCTTTCTTTCCTATTTTTCTTCTTTTTTTTTTTTTTTTCTTCCCCTTCTGTCGTGATGAGAGGCCGGAGAACGTTTTCGCTGATAGGCTGCGTTCTCCGATAAACATGCCTGCCGCTTTCTCCGCGGTGTGCGTGAGGGTTTAACCGAGGCTTCTGCACTCGGGTTCGGCTCCCTGATTGCGTGTGTGTTTGCTTTTCTAAGAAGTTTATGTGTTTGTCTAACGCCGGTTCAGATTTCAAAACGGAAAACTGATTGTTCTGGTTCTTTTTACCGTAGGCGGTTTGGATTACAGAGGGAGCCCTGGATGTTTGCAGCCTTTTGCTTCAGCTGGTAGGGAGGAAAAAAGGTGGAAACCGACCTGCAGCAGTTGCTTCTTGTGAAAGGGGAGAAATACCGGACGCTGTTCTGGGATTATTTGTCCAAGTGCTTCGTCCTGAAAAGGCTTCTGAAACAATCAGTAGGCATCTGAGAAGTGAATTGGAAGTTCGGAGTCGTGGGCTTTTTCTTTCTAGCGGTGCCGAGCACCTCACCCTTGGATGCTTTTGTCCGCATGGCATGGATACATGGCTGAATTTATCAAGTTCTGAACACTTCAGCTGCCAAAATAAAGTACTTTCTTGCTTTTAAATACTTTATCTTCTAGGCAACATTCTGTCTGAATCACAGGCGTAACCAGTTTTGTTAACTGGCTCCAGGTTAAATGCAGCCTGAGTCACTGTGTAGACATTGCTGAAAAGTTTCATGCCAGGTATTTTTCCCCTTACCTTGTTTTTTAGATTTTCTGACATAGCCTTCTGTCATTTTGCAGTGAGACCTGTTTTCTAAATGAAGAGTCTATTAATAGACGTTTGTTTATCATTTTTTCTTTTATATTTTATTTAATATTTTTGTTGAAAAATGTTGTTGCCAATAAGCAGTATGGAGGTATCCAGATAGCTGTTGTTTACAAATGCCTCTGTTACCCGAAGCTAGGAAATGTTCCACAGTTCAGATGTGAAATTTGGATTTTTGGCTTCACAGTTCGTGGTGTAAAAAGCGTATTTATTTCACCTGGAGCTGATGCTTCTTATATGTATATGGAATAGACAAGAGAAGAAGCTGTCAGAGAAAAAAAACGCTTTTTAAGACAGAGAGTTGGCAAATTTTGGAAATAGCCTTGTGGAATCTGTAAGCAAAAAGGATGGGTGGCTGATTTCTGTGAGCTCAAATTTATGTCAAACAGCTACGAATGTAGTATCAACAAGAACTTGGGATATTATCTCAAGGAAAACAAACTGGAAAAATACAAATCACGCAGTACTAACACCTTGTGCGGTCCTCTTGGATTAGGTAAGTGTAGTAGTGTTCATAAATCAATTTACGCTTGAATAAACATTTTTTCAGTAGAATGGTTAAGCCAGTAACATTTATGGCCTAGTCATTGTTTTTTTTGAGAACGTTGAAATGAGCTTGCAGAATCGAAGTTTTACTTGCTGTTTTTAATAATTAATGGAATAATTCTTTAAGAATTTGAAGAATACATGTACAAGGAAAAATGTGTAGGTAGGAGTGTGATTTTTCTGGCAGATGAAAAATTAGGTACATCTAGACTGAATCCGTAAGTAACTTAGCCTTCACGTTAATATTGTAATCTCAACAATGAGCTATTACACATATTGAACAAGTGTGCTGGGTGGCTTGCACATCTCAGTCTTCCCATTTGTATTAGATATTTTTGCAGCATGAAGGTACCAGTAGTGCAGGGTTGTTTTTTTTATTTATTTTCTTCCACTGTTCTTTGTTACTTATGGAAGCCAGACATTTTTTACCAAAAATTAGTTTACTGCCTATGCAAACTGGCTTTTTAATGTGTTGATATTTTAAGGTTGGGTTCAGAGTAATCTCCTGTTCTGTAATGGGAACGAATGAGTCTTGACTGGTGTGCAAGTATAACCTTATAAAAAACCTCCACCTTTTTTGTGGGATTCAAAGCAAAATCTAGTGGTGAAGTAACTAATTTTACATGTTATTTTTAGATGTATTGCTGTCCCCTTCCTCCCATAGTTGTTAAATGTTTCTGAAGATATAGATTGAATGTTGAAATTAATATGTTTATAATAATTTTTTGTAGGTTTGCATTCAGCTGAATTGCTACTGCCTCAAAGAAAATTAAGATGGACAGAACAACTTAATTCAAAAGTCAGTGGTAATTTTACTTAAGTTCTCTTCCCCCCTACCCCACCTTGATTATTCATAAAGCTTTAAATAATTAAAGCATTATTGGGTAGACTGTAAACTGAGCGTCTGGTAAAAGTGATACATTTACCTTAGTCGCCATCTTTTAAAACATTTTCAGAGCTTCTGCAACACTGAAGTATAAGTAGTAGAGAGCTAGTGGGAAAAAAAAAAGTTTTTCTCTAAGTGCAATGCAAAGATGTTTGGGAAGACGGCTTGTGTTAAAGCCTTGTAGAAAAAGTAAAGTTAAGCATGTGAAACGGTATCTAAAGATTACTACAGTGGTTTCCCCCCCCCGCCCCCCCGTAACTTGTTATTTTGACCACAAATGAAAGACTTGCATCTAAATAAGTTTTTTAAATTCTCAGGGTCACTGAAGTAGTTCTATTCTGTGTGTTGTCTTGTCAGTATCTAAAAGTTGATCTAGCTTCAGTGTTCTGCTTTCTTTGGATGGCCTTGCTGTTTTGTTATTTTAACTTCAATTTTGTTGTTTTGAAAAAATGGAAACTTGATTAGGAGGCTGTTTCTGTAATCTCTTGTGGCTGTGGCTTGTGGCTCTTCTACATCCAGTCTCAGTGTGGCTGGGGATTGACTGAATGAACTGAGCCACGTGTGAAGGAACCAAACCAACAGAGAAGAATGATCTTCCTCATTCCTTTAGTTGGATTAATCTGTGTTTTATTTGAAAGCATTTGGTAAATGGAAAGAGTTCAGGCATGAGTGGCCATTTCATTTGATTTTTGTCTATTGTACGGTCATAAACAAGAGTAATACAAGTACTTGCTTGTATACATCACTTCTTAACTCATAGAAAAAGTGATGTGTCTTTTTTCAAGCTATTAACTTTCAGTGCTGTGAGATACTTTTACCTCTTGACAAGAGGCTCTCACTGAAATCAAGGAGCGTCATCCCCCACTTACTATTTTGGGTGACGTCTTTATCTGGACTCTTTCCCTTCTGGATGTTTTGAAGAGTTTGCTTTTTAGCTTCATTAATTTAACTCTGTCTTTACACCTCTCTGTTTGCTGGTAGGATAATTCTTTTTTTTCTTTTCACCATGTTTGCATTTGGGAAGTGCAGTTTTTTCTTATTTGTATGCATATGTATTTGACAAGGATTCAGGTGTGTTTTACAGCTGTGCCCTTGTACCCTAAGCAAAATTAATACTTGGGTGACACCCATTGAGGAGAAAATGCCTAGCATGCTGGTCCACTTTAATTGCTTCTTTGGGTTCTTATTTGTATAGTGCTGACAGTCTGTTAAGTGGTTTGCAGACAACCATGGAGATAAGGTCCTTGCCCCCAAGAGCTTATACTTTAAGCCTTGATGTAAACATAACTTTTGTACTGGAATAACTGTCAGCAGGTTGGCTCTTTTACTGATGGGTTTATTCTGGTAGAATCCTAAAATGGGTACATTTGTATTGAGAAGTTGTCTTGAATGGCGTAGGCTGCTCTGCTGTGTGAAAAAACTGTTGGTGGAAGCTTTTAAGAGTAAGCAGAATTTAAGCTTTCAGCAAAGCTTAAGTGGAATTACAGCTGTAAAATGATATAGGGAAATTGTGTAGGTATTTAGCTTTGTTAGTACTTCACAAGTTAATGTACTTCACATTCCTTTTTTTCCCCCCCCTCCATTCTAATGAGATTCTTCTGCTTAAAATGTGTGGCTAAAACAGTGGGACAGTGATTGTTCATCAGTAACTTCTGGGGAAGTTACTTTTATTTATTTTTTAGTACTAGGAGTAAATTCTGTCCTGCAAGGAGAACTATTTGCAGACCGTATTATAAACGAACTTGAATGAGACTTGGCATGCTTTTTTGTTTTGGTTTTTGTTACTGTGCATGTTTGAGTAGTAGTATTACACAGTAACTGATGATAATGCCCTATGTGGTGCTATCAACTCTTCCACAATGACCTCCTTTCATATCAACTCTTCCACAATCACCTCCTTTCATATTTTGGGTAAACATAGTCAGGGAAACAGCTGAAATACCTAGAATTGTTTTTCTGCTTTATATGCTCAGGGTATGTCAAAACCGCTACCTTTTTCAACTGCTTTTTCTTCAGATTCTCGGGAAGACTCCAAAGTGCAAAAGAACTCCTGCTGATTTTTTTACATAATGTATGCTGAACGATGTGGTGATGTTACTGCAATAACACTTCAGCTTTTGGACTTTGAACCTTGCAAAGGGCAAGAGGTTAGCGTTTATCTAGCTTTCCGCTAAATGGTACTGCAAGTGTATAGGGTTTCAAGCAGAAGGAACCTGGTTGTAGTTTACCTTCAAATATGAAGTTAATCTGTGTTATGAAATAGTTTGCTTTTTTTAATTTACATTTTGATACAGTGCAAGAAGGAAAAACTTTTTTTGATAGAAGTCATGATTAAGTTATTTGAAGCGCTCTCATTAACTTTGACTGTTTCTAAAACATTTCCTAAAAGATCTTTTGATTGTTGTGACCATTAATATTTGATTCACAGAACTGATGTAATCCCTGATGCTTGTGAACCATATCTATATGTAGAAAGGGGATCATACAGTAAAGAGCAGTGATTGGAATTAGAACACCAGTGTACCCCCAAGTCTGCCAACGTTCTAGATCCTTATGCAGAACAAAGTGTGCTTTAGTTGATTCATCCTCACATAAGGAACTTGAGCCCTAAGTAGAAATGAAGGTGGATTTTCCTTAATTTTGTTTGGTTTTTTGCTAAGTCACTGTAAAACTAGGTTTTAGGGCTGTGGCTGTACTAGAGAATGTGTTGGCTTTAAACGGTTAAAAAATTGACTGTTACAGTTTGACTCCATACACTTCTCATACCTAGGCATGTCATAAGACTTTTGGAGGTGTTCAGGTTTGACAGAGGACCTTGCTCCTTCCTCAGTGTTCTGCAGGAAGCCTTAGTTCTCATACTTCATTTTAAAAGATGAGGCAAGAAGGTAAATTAAAAAAAGTATGGATTTTTTTCTTTTATTCTTCCTTATGTCCAGTGCTGGAATACTCATCAGAACGGTTCTGTATTGGATGGTGGGGACAGCGAGACTAAAACCGGAGATTTTACTTGCTCTACAGTAGCACAGTTGAGAAAGAAGAGGCTTCAGCTGAATTGTTCAGAACTTCTTAATGTCTGTTGAACCAGTGGGAGGGAAGACCTTTAAAGGTTCAGCTCCCTTTCCTTTTATTGTAGGTGTGAGTCTTTGGCAGTAAATTTTAGAGAACCAAAGAACTTGAGAGAATTACCATACCCAAACTTAACCTTGTTTGTAAATTATATGTCTGTAAACAGTCTTTACATTGAAATGTAGCGGGGAGGCGACATGCACACTTTCCCTTCAAAGCGTTAAAAGGTTGGTTATAAAAATATAAGCTTATTCTGTTGTTGTGGCTGTGCATTTACCTGGAGAGAAAAGAAAGGAAATAAATAATCTTTAGTTCAAGTAGGTGTCACGCTTTTGCAGCAATTTGTGATCAGTAGAAATGCTTCCATTTTCAAAAACTCCGTAAAGCTTGTGTTAGGGTTTGAATATTATTTTCTGTTCTATTAACATGCAAATTTTGGATAGGAAAATAACTTGAAATTAGCTTATTTTGCTTTGCTCAAACTAAATGAATCACAGAGTAAGGAAGATCTCTAATAAGCTGTGTCTCTAAAAGGGGAATGAAAATTGAGATGTATAGGGTTTAAACAAAAGTATTGTTTAAAGCTTACACTTACCAACTTTACTTCAAATTAGCGCTACTCTTGACTGGAGATAACAGGGAAGGATCTGTTATCACAAGAAATTTTTTGTTTAAAAGAAAATGTGTTTTGTGGCAGAAGGAAAAACTTTTGATGGAGTGGGTTATTTTAAAGGCCTGCTTAGTTTGAGAAAAATACTGAACGTTTCTTTTCATGGAGAAGAGAGACTGTGTAGTCTGATGGCTAGGACTTGTGCATATAGTTTCTTTGCCTGATTCAGAGCAAAACTTGGTAGTTTTTCTATGGCTGATGCTAAATAGGTGGAATAAACATTTGAAGCTGGCCCAAGATGGAGAACTGAAGGGTCAATTTATTCTGTAGCTCTGTTATTCCAGAGTTGCTCTGTTTTAGTGAGAACTTTGCCTGCTGCTGCTGCTTCTTCAGGAAAAAAAAAAATTGACCTTGGCAAATAGCTTTCTCTTTTTGTTGTCATGAAATGCAGTACAGTTGGTGTTTGGTGTATCTCTGATAGTAAACATTCAGTTTTATTTCCCTCCTAGAAAACTGTGTCTCCTTTCCCTTCCTGTTAGAGGATCACTCTTTTCTAAGATGTCATACAGACTTGCTTATTGGACCCCTCTGAAATTCATATGTATGCTTTGTTTGTCTTCCTGGCTTAAGAAGGATTTGATATGCTTGCTGTAGCGCATTACCAAGGAAGCAAAGCAGCAGCAGTAGCAACAAACTTGACACACTGAATAATATGTAACCTTTTATTTTTTGTACTGTCATAACAACACTGTAGCATACTTCAATTCTCACAGCTTACAACCTTCTTTTACCCCATTTATAAATATTATACTAAAAATTACGGTGACAAGGTGAGGGTGGGTTGTCAAACAAGTGCGTAGCTGAGAGGTGGAGTTCAGGTTCCCACATGTAGTTTGTGGTGTGCTGTACTTATGATAATAATAATCTGTGAGGCATTAGGTAAAAGATCATAGGTATGTGCCACTTAGATATGCGTACATGCTAATTTTAGACTTTCCTGAAAACTATGAATGTGCATATATCCATGTGCTTTTAACATCCTGTTCATGGGTTTCTCCATGCAAATCGATAGACTGAATTTCTAAACTGGTCTTCACCGAGCATCAAGAAATTTGAATTTGTATCTCCCTTCTAACTTTGGGAATTCATGGCTTGAAGCTTCCTTATTTTTTTTCCCCTGTTAATAACTTTGCCACTCCACTCACAAGCTTCAAGTATTCCTAGCTATTTGAGTTTATATTGCCTTTTATTTTAATCGTCTTCTGACAATCTCTGAAATACCCACTGTCACAGAAACTGCTTCCTGTAAAATATGATAGGCTATCCACAGAGCATGAGAAATACAGAAGCTGAAAATGCAGAACTACTTTTTCTTTTCTCCAGCTTCTAGTGAGATGGGTTCAGCTGTCAGGGTGTTTTTTCCTAATTTTTAGCATTATTTTTAAATTTGTTTTTCCTGTAAAATTTTGGCCAGCTCCATTTAAATTGGATGTATTTATTAATGTGGTAAATCCATGAGATGGCCAAAAGCATACAATCTTTTAGTAAATTAAGTTTTTTAGATTGTAGGTGTTTTGGCTATTTTACTATTATACTGACCAGCCTTTTCCTTATTGTAGTGATGTCACCATTTTTTTGTTTCTTTATGCTAGGACATTATGAAAAAGCAAAGCTGTTTTTATTTATTCTGGTAGTTCAGACAAATTGTGTTACCAAATGTATCTCGCCAACAGTAATGAAACCTGTCTTAAATATTGAAGACAGCTTTCTGGGCTAGGGAAATATTTTTATTTTGTAGACTTGAAGAGACCTCCCTGAAGTTGGATCTCTTCAATACCAGTGGGACTGTCTTTCCTCTGCCAGCTAAATACTGGTTAGACAAGTTAAACAACATGCCCTTAAAATTGGGTGGGGACGGTCTCTGATCTCATGTCCTTGTCATCTTAAAGTTCTGCTGTGCTTTTTTCTCCACCCTTGGTGGAGAAAGGATCAGGTTAGGGAACACTTAAATAAGATATACGTAAATCCATGGGGCTTGACAGAATGCTCCTATGAGTACAGAGGAAGCCAGCTGATGTCATTGCAAGGCCATTCCTTATTATCTTTGGGAGGTCATTGGGAGAGGCTCTTGAGTACTGTAAGAGAGCAAATGTCAATCCTGTCATCAAGAAGGGTAAGAAGGAGGATCCAGGGAACTACAGGCCGGTCAGCCTCACTTCAGTCCATGGGAAGGTGGTACAGCAACTAATCCTGGAAACCGTTTCCAAACACGTGAAGGACGGGAAGGTGAGTGGGAGCAGTCAGAATGGATTTATGAAGGGGAAATCATGCTTAATCAAGCCAATAGCCCTCTACAATGAGGTGACTAGCTTGGTAGATGAATGGAGAGCAATAGATGGTGTTTATCTTGACTTCAGTAAGTCTTTTGACATTGTCTTTCATAACATCCTCGTATAGAAGCTGACAAAAGTATATGTAGAGAAGTGAATGATGAGGTGTATCAAAAACTGGCTGAGTGGCCAGGCCTATCTCATCAGGATTGTGATCAGTGGCACCAAGGCCATTTGGAGGAAGCTGTTACTGTTGTACCCCAGGCTTCAATACTGGAGCCCGTACTATTTAACATCTTCATTAAAGTCCTGGACAACGGGGCAGAGTTTACCCTCAGCAAGTTTGCAGTTGATACAAAATGGGGAGGAGTGGCTGATACGCTAGATGTGTTTGCTGCCATTCAGAGGAACCTGGACAGGATGGAGAACTGGACAGAGGATCGTCATGAAGTTCAGCAAAAGGAAAATGCGAAGTCCTGCCTTTAGGGAGTAGTAGCTGCATATGCCAGTACATGCCGGGTGCTGACTAGCTGGTAAGCAGCTCTGCAGAGAAGGACCTGGGGGTCCTCTCGGACAACAAGCCAACCATGAGCCAGCAATGCATCCTCATAACAAATAAGGCCAACGTTACCCTGGGCTACATTAGGAAGACTGTTGCCAGCAGGTCGAGGGGAGTTCATCTTTCTCCTCTACTCAGCCCTGGTGAGGCCACATGTGGAGTGCTGTGTCCTGTTATAGGCTCCCCGGTACAAGAAAGATACGGATTTAGTGGAGTGAGTTCAGCAAAGGACCACAAAGATTATTAAGGGACTGGAGCATCTTTCCTATGGGGAGAGGCTGATACTCTTTTTGATCTTCTAAGGAAGTACGAGTTGGTCCTCAGTCTTTCAGAACACTCTCTGGATGTTATATTTTAATTTTTCAGAAGATTCTTTCTAGATTTAAAATTAGTAAGCCATCAAACTCGTATTTTTCTCATGTGAAGAGAAACTCACATTTTTCTGTGAAGGTGAAAACGGTGAGGGAGGGAGACTTTACTGTTAATGCTATTGATGGGACTACAGATGGTTGGGATAAGAGTAGACCGTATGCCCTCAGGAGGATGTTACAAGGTAGGAATGCTTTGTCACAAGGTGATGCT